TTAAAGTCACCAGAATGAAGAGGTCTCATCCTTGATACACACACCAATGTAGCTGATGAGAACTGGAGCCTGCCAATCATGACTGATAGATGATGCTCAGATTACTGCCAGGCCTGCCACAGTGTGCCCGAAGATGTGAATCTTCTAAACGGTGATGAAGTCCTTCCTCCACTGCACAAGGTAGACTAGGATACTCCCTTTTGCCTAAGTGGTTTGTGACTTTGCTTCTCTCTTTAAGTCTGCCAAAGTCTTCCATTCCTAACCACCATCTATTTCTGTCAATTAGACTTCAAATGCACACTCTGTAACCAAGAGGGCCTGTTATCTATCCTGTATGACTGAGGGGGCCAGGGAAGACCTATACCTGCCCAAGGCCCCAAAACTTTCAAATTCCAATCAAAAAGGCCTTCAAAACTTACCCTCACTTAGTAAGGATCCAATCATTCCCTTTTGATGAAGGAGGGCTCAGACCTTCTCCCCCTTTACTTAAATGTGCTTCACCTACAATACATCATCTAAAAGGGACATCATTATCCTCTTTTTGTCAGGGTCCTCAAATTCCTCCCCTCTGGCCAAAAGGTCTGAAAATATCTTTCTTTCATAGAGGAGATTCAGAGCATCATGTTATAGCATCAGACACTATTCGGAAATACTTAGCCTTTCCTTTCTATCCAGGGGGAAGTAAAACTTTCTCCCAAAGCCCAAGATGGCTTGTAATATGTTCTCTTTTGCCCAAGGATGACTCAGGCCTACCATATCTACTATGGGGCTTATAGATCTTGTTCTCTTGACGATGTATGTCTGCTATATTCCCACCTGTCTAGGACTGCTTCAAACTTTCTTCCTGCTACATATATGGGATTATCTTATCTGACCAATAACTTCTTAGACTGAAAATGACCATCCAACCACTTGGAAAACATGCAATGATTACTTCCTGGCCTTTCACAAGCCCACAAAGGTATGGATATTCTCAATACTGAAAAAGATTTGGAAGCTGACTAGGCCAAATCAGACCTTCCTCTGTTCCACAAGATGTTTACTTTATACTTAATGGAAAATTGCCATTCCTATTTTATTGAACATTGCCATATAATTTACACCCCTGACAAATAGGTGTAGACCTTCACTTGTGCACAAAATGTCTCAGAAATTCCAGTTATGACCAGAGTGCATTAATATTTCTCATTATTCCCATGAATTTTGCCACATAACATTTTTTATGAAGGGTGTAATAATCCTTCTATTTCTGTCCCAAGGACCAAGGCCCTACCCCATCTTACATAGTGGATTTAGACATTCACATCAATAAAGAGTGCCTCAGGCCTGCCTTGTGTAATCAAGGAAATTTCGCAGTTGATTCCATACCTATAGCTTCTAATTTGGGTGGCCTGGGAAGTACTGTTCAAGAGAACTCAGATCTCTCTGGACCGAGGTCCCTGAGCACAAGAACAGCAAGATTGGGATAACTCATAATTCACTCTAGTCTTTCAGACAGAGAATTCCTGTCTTACATGAAGAGGAATTTGTGGATGGACCTATACCAGATAAAGAAACTGAGTCACAGACTTCTGTCGTGCAGCCTTTTAGAAGACTTCTAACACTGCTGACATGCCTGACATGGACATTCAGAAAATGTGTATTCCAGATTGTGATTTCAAGTTTGGTGCCAATGAAGAAGTGAGTGTCTGGGACTTTCTATAATTCTCAGGGTATCATTCAAGTTTCAGCTTCTGCCCAATAAGTACACAGACATATGACCAAGGGAGGCTGAGATTATTCCACCTAATCCTAGGGAGCTCCTGACTCCTCCTTCTAGGTTAGAGGATTTTAGATCTTTCACCTGCTCCCAAAGTGGTAGCAAGAATTCTTCTTCTGCCCACATAGGCTTTCTCTGCCTACCTAAGTTCTGCCATGCTATAGGTCCCAAGCAGTATCTTATTTATTAATGGTGATCACAGCACACAGAGGGGACTCCCTCATCATGGATATGCTCCACCTACCCAGAGAAGTCTGAGAGTATCCTCTCTTTCTTACTGAAGTGGCTTTTAGACTATGCCCTCTCCCAAGTATACCCCCAAGTTTTGTCTTCTGACCAAAGGGTTTCAGACCTGCCTGCTCTACTAGAGAGGTACATACAAGGGTTCTCAGATCTTCTGAACATGACCCTGTGGGAGTACAATTACTAGGACCATATAATTGGGCCACATACCATTCTGATGTGACCAAAGGAGTTTCAGTTTACTGCCTATGATTTACCAGACAGCCTCAGATCTACTCATTCTGCAAGTTGTCTTCAAATAGGCCCTTTGGTTCAAGGAGAGCCTCACACTCTTCTCCTCTGATTCAGTGGCCTCAGACATTCCCCCACCCAAACCTGAGACCATAGAATACTTTTCTTCACACAAGGACTTCTCCAGACATCCCAGGCTTAAAGACTCCAAGTCCATGTGTAGGAAGTAGAGTCTAGAATTGAAGCCCACAGCCTCAAAGCCAAAATCAATATAATGTGGTCTCCATCATTCAAACTTAGATCTGAGCAGCTGAACATATGCTTGAGAAGGAGAACAAGATTGGGACTCTCATGCAGACTTTTGGAAAATACTCAGACTGCTGCCTCACCTACCACTCATTCTCTACAGTGGACAGATATCCAAGTATCTGATGAAGAGCTGGAAGCTGATAAGGCAGTTCCTGTAATGTGTTCCATTGTATGAGGTGGGCCGGGACTTTGATCTCATGTCAAGCAGTGGGTATGCTGATTTCCAACTTTACCCAACCCAACATGCTATTCAATATTTATAATAACCCCCAGATTTCCACACTCCTCACAAGACACCATCAAACATTTCCCCTCTGACCCTGGGGTCCTTGTATTTTCTCCAAAGCTCTTGTTTCCTCCCTTCTTCCCCATACACCTTGGCAAGCCTCTGACCTAACATTGCTGATCCTTTGATCCCTATTTGTAAATTTCTGACTTATGTGTGGGGCATTCAAGGTCTGAATATGAGGCCTTCAATAGTGTTCCCATTGACCAAGGGTGTCTCACACATACTCTTTTCCTTTAATGGAGTATTCAAACTCCACATCTGGCCAACAGAATTTCAGATCTTCCTTTTCTGTAATGTATGGT